AGCCCTTCTAGATTCACACCTCAATTTTCAGTCTCCTGCATCAGTCAGTTCACTCTCAGACCTATGTATCTGGCGGCCAGGTAATAGCTCCCCCTAAGCCACAGGCTTTGTGTTGCAGCCCGGATTCTTCGAATCATTGTATGCCTCACACGCACGCACAACGCACCAATGGGATTCCATGAGACAAAGTGCGCCGCGCCGCTGCGCCTCACCGCAAAGGATGCCCACCTTCATGCCATGTGCCTGGCCCTGAGCAAATGGAACTTAAACGCTGGAAGAGTGGTTGAGTCCTTGAGCCTGGTTATTCAATTATTCATGCCGTGGTCCCAGCACTTGTCGGTCCAAGTGGATTGTGTGAGCAACCTTAAAAGTCACCTCATCGGACTGCGAGTGCCTCGGCCATCTCCGTGCTGATGCCAGCAGAGTGTGGGATGGAGGCTGCATCGGGCTTCTCCTTCTTTCGAGTGCCCTGGCCGTGTGGGAGCGATTTCCTGGTCTGTCCGTCAGTGGCGAAGACCCGACGGCCCTTGTGAAACGTAGACTCTAAAGACCAAATCCTTCGGAATAACAACTCTGCAAATTGGAGGACGGCCTCCAACCTAAGAGCGATGGCCTCCACCCTAGCGATGGCCTCGCCATAGAAGTGACCATGAGTGGTGTGAAAAAAAGCGCTGGTCGTGATTGTCCTGGGCCGTCGAACGGCGGCCAAGCATCTGGGGCCTATGTGGGTGGTAAACACATCTAGAAAGCGCGGACAGAAATCTTGCCTAGATTAAAGCTGGAATAAAAATATACATGTGCGATACATGTCTTCAAAGAGCATTTTGTCAATGTTGATTCTTGATCATCTCATTTCTTTGTTTCAGATGCATGTCATCCTTTTCGACGCATTCAAAACAAATAACAAAGCCCCGTGCAGGAGACAAAATGGCAAGTGCAGTAATGATACAGCGCTGTGTGGCTTGCAACTTCCAGCATGGAGCAGTTCTTAAAACAGAATTTCCCAAGGCCCCCCAACTGGATGGCGATTGAGATGTGCCCCAAAGCCACTGCGAGGGCCAGGAAGCTCCCTTGTCTCCTGCACTCGTGTGGTTCAATGGTCGTGTTCTGCCTTGGGTCCACAAAAAAGCTTATGTGGCTAGTCGTTTCACGTAGTAAGAAACTTGAAAAATACATAAGCATACTCATCACTGGGATGTCTGATTCCAGTAAGGATTGGGAATGGAAGGACTTAGGTTCAGCCCTTCCAATGCATAGGACTTTCTGTAAGATATCTTCTGCTGGTTCTTGGCATCCCTGCAGGTGGGCATACCGGCGCGTTGGCTGTGGTGATCATCGTGGGGGCCTTGGATGCAAAAGGATCAGAGCAAACTGGTGAGCAAGGCACTGGTGAGCCAAGAGGCTGAATTGCCTGAAGTGACTGTATCAAGAACAGCATATCTACCAGCCCATCTAATCCCAATCAGTTCTGTCAGTTCGGCCATCCATTCGATGTGCTTCAACTCCAGATCTGGGACTCCCCACCACAGCCTTGCCCTTGCCCCAATCATTCCGGCTCCTGGAAGTTTTTCAGTTGTAATACGCAGGAGTCTGGGACACTGGCAACCACTGGTCGTTCACAAGAAAGAATCCAGTAACAAGCAATCTCCTCACAAAAATACACAACAAATGTCATAGTGTTTGGGGCAAAATCTAAACCAAGTCAAGTCCAGAGAAAGAGGTTGTCAACCAACTCAAAGGGTGTCTCACTTGTCTTAAACACCCAACAGCAACAGGCTAGATATGGGGCACAAATGTTTCGTGTCTTCAGCTCTCTGTGCCTGGGATCCTTGAAGTCTGCCAGGTTCGTAGTCACCTCCCACAGTGCTGGACTTTAGTATCATAGAGTCATAATTACTAGAAATGGTCATACTCCGAAAATCGTATATATCTATCTCCTATCTGCTCGGGGTTGCCTGGAGTGACGCTACGTTTGCCCTGTCCCCGGTCTTCCTCAAACATCTCTCACAAGATGTGGATATGGTCAGAACCCTATAAGGCCCTAGTGGCTCGCCGCCAGCTGCTTGGTCTACCTTTACTCCTTTGCAAAGCAGCACCGCAAGTTCAGGCCTGTGTCCCAAATCCTTCACCCTCAGTTCGCACATTTTTCCTTGACCACATGGCCACGGGTGAAACTCCTTTCTTCCAAAGGCCGTTCGTGCACACGTCAAATCAACCACAGGAGTTCATTCCTGTTCGCCAAAAATACAAGTGCCAAAAGGGGCTCTGTTCGAGTCTCAGTTCTTCCTAAGTTTGGCCTTCCTCTGTCTCTGGCCTTTGAACTACGAGCCGCAGCCGCTGCGTCAGCAGCCGTCTTAGTGCTCGGAAGACCTCATCAAGTGCCAAATGACATATCCGACAAAAAGGAGACTCCAAAGAATGTTCCCATGATTTAAGCCTAGAACCCCTGATGGCTCGAAAGTTTTAAGAAAAGCGCTTTCCTCCCCCCCCACTGACAGGCACTCACGCAAACACATTTTTCACTGACGCCGCACAAACAGCAACATCACAGACGGACTTTGACAAGGTGTACCACACACTACATACAACCATGTCACACCCAGCCTCGCACGATCCTGCGAAAGGGTTCACCGCAGCACCCTCCAGAACCGACAAAAATCGCACTTCGCTACACGTTTGGGCACTCGACGAACCGGATCTGCGAGAGGGTTCGCCGCCAACCAAGGGAATTCGCACTTCGCTTCACGTTTGGGCACTCGACAGGCTGGATCCTGCGAGAGGGTTGCTTCTCGCGATCTCTCGCTTGGTCCGCCCCGGCTTTCAAGATAATTGAAAGAGTGAAAAGTCAAGAGTAAAAACTTGGTCAAGTCTCTTGCAAATGCTAAAACTCAAGTCTCTTGCAGGTGCTAGTGCAACATTATCACAAGTGCTAAAGCCTGTTCATAAAGCCTGTTCAAAAGACTCTCATAAGTGCTAAAACCTGAGCAAAACTCTTACAAGTGCTAAGGCCTTTGCAAGATATTTACAAGTGCTTAAAGCCTGAGCCAGACTCTGGCAATTGAAGTGGTAGATATGTCAGACCAAGTGCCTTTAGTAAGAGCCCTTCGACCAAGTCTTTCGGGAAAAAGAAAACTCCTCCCCAATTGTGTTCAAAGGATCTCTTCAACTTCTCCAACCGGAAAATTCTGCGACCAGGCTGCTGGTCGCTCATTCTCCCATCAATTTCACAATGACCTTGTTGATGCCTCCTTTGATGTCCTTGGCTCCAACAGCTCGGATAGTCGTAAAGGGCCCTTACAAATAAGAAACATTCAAAGGAAATGGGGTGTGTGTGTGTGTGTGCGTGTTTCTAGCAAGGGGCAATGACGGCTAATCCTTGATCTAGCTAAATCAACAAAGCAAAGAGTCGAGAAAACAATGGTCTTTCCCAAGGCAGTGTTCGGAAAACCTTTTTCCCAGCTGGCCAAGACACTCCAGACTCGAAATTCTTGTTGTCGACCAAACCATCTGCCTGCGAGGGGAGGGGAGGGACCAACAAAAACGGGTTGCTCCCTTTCCATTCAAGACACTGCCGCAAGGCGTTTGAGATCCGTCTCAATCAAGACAGGGTGTGATCAAAATCGTGACAGTCATGTTCAGGCTATCATGGTCTTGGAGAACATAGTTGGCCTGTTATCCTATTGTTGTCTTGCTGTTGTCAGCTGCCCGAAGACCAGCAAGACCCTCAAGCGAGCTCTTTTTCAGAAGCGCCCTTGCAGTATGCTCCAGAGCTTCTCAGGCGCATCTTCCGTCTTGAGGCCTTAAAGCAGATCAGGATCCAGGGAGTCTGCGGTTGGGCCACATCGGCAGTCTGCCGACTCATCGGATGAGTTCCCAATTTTGAGACACCCTTTGCCGAGCGAGCTTCAAGCTCTTGTAGGTCGGACCCAAAGCACTTCTCAGGCAGCGACGTTCGGACACAAGTGCTAGAAGCTTTGCCTGCATTGCCAAACGCTAACCAACTCTGAATGGTCGGATACAAACTTCTGCGTAGTCTTGAACATACTAGTAACAAGAAGCTACTTGGTGGAGGCCACCGCTATTAGGTTGGAGGCCACTACTAATAACAAGGACGCTATTAGGTTGGAGGCCATTGCTATTAAAGCCATCGACCTCAACAAAGCGACATTCTGGTGTGTCCCTCCAGCCTCAACCTGCTCAGGAGAAGCGATCCTGACAGGTCATGGCAGCATTTCAGCATTTCCCTCAAGCCTGACAGTCCAAAAGCTGAGGTGGCAGCATGCCAGAGGGTGCACTTCCATTGCTGGCCTCACATGTGGCAAATATCAGGGAAGCTTGCAGTACATTGCCCCAAGACGTTTCATGATTTCAATTCTGACTGATGCTTCTGCCTTATGTCCGCACCGAACCACAAGGCCTATTGAACGAATGTCCTGACTCATTGACTGGAAGCCATACGTCTCCAGTTTCAAGGTGCTTTCTTTGGAATCTTTCTCTGGAGACTGAGTCTCTGGTCGCTGAGGCCTTTAGACATAACCTACTGTAATAATCGCCCCTGCTGACAGTTCTCGGCCGCCGTGCTCCGCGAAGCCGCGGCAACAGCCAACGGACGAAGGCGGACACCTCTTGGGCCTTCCAAAGTGGGACACGTCGACAGTCGGCAAACGATCCTTTCCGGATGGTCGAAAAAAATCACTCCGAATCCCCCGAAGCAAACTCTGCTCGTTCCGGTGAGGGACCAAGGGATGATGAGAAACACATACTGTCTGACATCAGCAAGACAAAAAGGTAAGAATAACTTATAGTAAATATGTTTGATCTGTAAAAGTAAACAGGAAAGTGCACTCTATAGGAAAATGAGTCAATGTTTGGAAGTGACTCTGCAGCTGCAGTTTGGAAGGGAATATCCAATCATACACACGGAAAAATAATGAGATTTACTTTCCTTGCTGCAACAAATGCAAGTTTACTCGAAACTCAAAAAATGTTCTCCCGCCAACTCAGCGCGCCTTCACAGGTCTTGCTTTTGTACAATCCTCCTCCCCCGGCACGTCTGGGAAGTGCTTCCCAATAAACTCCTGGCAAATCGTCCACTCAAACTCCCCCAAAATGTGCAGATCTGCTTTGGAGAACCAAAACCATTCCCAAGAAACTCGCAAGAAAAAGAAAAACATTCTTTTTGTGGGATGCACATCCTTTGCGGTCAGCAACATTGTCTTCACTACCTCCACGTCTCTCATCAGCATCAAGTCGTTGGCCCGAGGGCTGATGCCATAACCTGAGAGTCTCCAGTCGGTTCCAACCGACCGATCGCCAACCCATCTCAATCGAGAAGGGAATTCCCAAACGAAAAAGAATTGATTTTCTTTTCCAAACGACTGAGCTCTCAACAAACACCAGAGCTTAGCGGGAAGTGTTCAAAGAACCACATGGCCTGGCAGCAAGTATTTGCTCAGATCAAGGGACATTTCAATTTGCAACTATCAGCGCAATATACAAATGAGTGAAGCCACAATCTTACTAATCTTACTAAGGAAAGCAGTTTACAACCCTATGAATTGTCTTGTAAAGAGTGGAGGCTGGCCATGGACGTAGTCTCAGCCGTGAGTGATTGCACGTGATGCCACCAGTATGGCCTGGTGTATCGGTTTCATTTCAAAAAGGCAAGCGCAAGCTGCTCATGTCCAACTCAGCACGAGACGGTATGTACAAAGCTTCACCTGGTTCCAACTCCACCTCAACAAGGTCGAAGCTGCGGGCGGATCAACAACTGTCCAAGACTTTTGAGTCTTTTCCTTGAAACCAAAACAGCTGATCAGCTGATGAATCCCTCTCTGGGGATCTTGCCAAGCATCCTGAAGCCTCCCTCCAGTTTGGGAAGCGTTGGTCATCTGGTCCATCCAAGTCCACCATACTCCTAACGCCCGTGCCACATGTCACGCTCACGCAACGAAAGCTTGCACGCTTGACCTCTGCTGTCTGTTCCAGAAAGAAAATGAGTAGTAGCATCTCTGAGCAAATGATAATAAAAGCACGAACGATCTCAATAGAAGTATATACTTATATACCTCAGCGTTCCAGAAGGGTCCAGGTTCCATAGATTCAGACTTGCGGCTTCTCGTCTACGATCCAACACAATATCCACTCGCACACCCATCCGTGACCGTCCGGAATCCCTCACACAGCCTGCGATCCAGGTCGTGGTGTACTGGAAAGGGATACAAATGACGCCAATCCTTCGCAGGGACCAAAAAAGGTGACTGACCAAAGTGCACAGGCATCCCTCGCGCAATTATGATCCATGCCTACTTCACTGACTTGGAGCTGCTTTATTGGGGCTGTGCACTATTTCAATGGCCCACAAGGCTTACGAACCCCCGTTCAGCCCTTCATATTGCCCCCTGAGCTACCCACGTCTGGAGGAAATAGAATGAAGCGCTTTTTGCCAGTCAGCTGCACGTGCCTTTGACCGCAACACCAAGAGCCAGTGACTTTTAACGTGGTCTTCAGATTCTGTCTTCAGTGCATTTTTCAGAGATCGACTCAATAAGCAACAGGCATCAACATGCCAGGCCAAAAAATGGTGACAGAAAAATACCGAAGCAGCGTTCATCACTGTTCGCAGTCTGTCGGGACAGGGGACACTTTCAGCAATTAAAACGAGCTCTAACCCAGCAATTCATGACCTCGCATCGCAGTGCCAATCAATGAAGTGTCTGAGAAATGGGCAAGTTGGGCTGCAAGTCATAATGGCAATGATACAGCCTCAGGTCAAACAACCTTTGACGGATGAACGCTCACAAAGGGCATGATGCACATTATGACTTAAGATTCGTTCTTGGCACCCAGCGTCCCGCCCAAACCAGCGAAGAGATAGAATCGCTGGACCAAAGGCAACACGTTCATCTCCTGTGTATGCATGCGTTCCCTGGACGTGTTCTCAATGGCTGGACACTCAATATTCGCTGCTTGAAAGTGTCAGCTGGGTTGAAAAGCAGTGATCTTGTTGTGAACTTTAACAGGAGCACTGCTCACATGGTGACAGCTCTGCAGAACTCCTGCCATTCCTTGATGAGGTCGAATCGAATACTCCAGAGGTCATCGGCCATCTCTTCGTCAATCCTTGAGAGGATCAGGGTTCTAGAAAAACGATACAAGCAAGGCCAGCCAACAAATTGATCGTCACACGATCGTCGCAAGGCATGATGATCACATGGTGTCAAGCCTACCTACCAGCTTCTAGCAGCTGGGAACTTGGCCAATCTATATAATTCTATGTTTGGCCGAAGCTCTGTCCCAGGAAGCCATTCTCCTGCTCTTTAAACCTGGTGCCATGGCAAAACATGGGTAGTGTCACAGATCTGCAGGAAAAAACAGAAGCACCAACTGGTCCTTGCCATTGTAGCCATCACCGCCGTCACCCAATATTTAGTTCAGGCAGATCTTGCTCAATATATTGGACTCTTGGACATGTTGGACCTTCCCCACCTCCACAGCAAGTGGATGCCAAAATATGGGAGCTTGCGCTTTCCACCTGCAACACAACATCGGATGATTGGTACTCCTACTGCTCGGTGAGCTTTTTGCTCAGCGATCCAGTTCGTCTGCCCCTAAGACTTGCAGAAACAAGAAAACGTTCACAGTGACCAACGGTAAATCTCAGCAAAGAGAAAACAATTGAAACGCACGGAGGGCGGTTTCCAGCACGCGCAAACCACCTAGACTACCCGCCTGACTCTCTGAAACGCTGGGCTTCAGCCAGGAAATCAGAGAAGGTCATCCTGTGCTTCGATGGTTGGAACTGGTCGATCCACCAGCTTCTTCATGAAACTATACTTCGATTTGATAATAGTGCTAGCTGCCATACATCAAAGAACCATGCCGCCGTGACGTCCGGTTTGTGCAAAGTCTTCCACCCCCAAAATATCTCCTAGTCTGGTCTGAGGTGTTGAAGAGACCTGCCGTCGTGGTGCAAAGGCTGAATATGCTGAATTTACAGAATTGCACCTGCTTGTCCCGAGGTGTTCATGACTCTTATGCCATGAAATCTGTTTGGAGTGTGAAGCCCTTGTAGAACATCTTCAATCTGGCAAACAACCCAGGCGAATCAGACCTTACCAAAGAAACAAGATTTCCCAACAATCCAGTGCTTGATGTTTCTCATCGGACCAATCATCCTAGTCGTGCCTTCATCAGAATGGCGGCCCTCCTTCAACTCAGAGGACTCCACCTGCCTTTGGCCTCGGGATCATTAGGCGTTCCTTGCGAACTTAACCCCTCATTTGAGTTCTGGGCCATTGCGAGCAGAATGGCTCATGACCTTGGAATTCTGCAGAATCAGAAATACATCAGTCTAGAGGCGTTCACCCTTCTGCCGTTGTCATTTCCTTCCAATGCAAGAACCCAAGTGGGGAGGAGGGTTGAAATACTGGGTGGCAGTATTGAAAAGAAACGTTGCGTCAGTCTGCTATTGAAACAAACGGCACCCGAGGCCATAGCTATCTTCCCAGTACCTTCATCCAGCATCACCCCATACCTGGCAGAGTTCAGAAACCGAATGCTGCACGATAGGTCTTTCTCACGACCCACTTGATCAATCCTCCCGTCTTGTAACTCGAGGGAATCTCGTGCATCCAGCTTCTGGATTTCAGCCTACCACTGGGGTTAGCTGCAAGAACTCCACGGGCGCCTTTGCGTGGCAGGAAGATGCTTCTGCAAGTACTCGAAGTCCCAGTTGAAAAGCCTCCCAGGCCACAACATACCGACGCCGCCTCTCACTTCTCCTTTCTCCGCTCGAAACAGTCAAAGGACGCATGACCATCACGCACCATCCTTTGTACATTCTTTTGTGTATGCAGGCATTTTGCCATCCGTGAGCCCATTGCGGCCCGATCCCCCTTTCTTGTCAGGAAAAGGTGCCCGCTGCTTTGCGTTTGGTTCATGGTTGCGCCTGGCTCCCTACCACTTCAAGTGGTAGCGGAGCCCTGCGGGGCTTTCGTTGCGTGAGCTTAGATCCAGGTCATTGTGGTTGTGTGGTGGGGTGAGCGATGTCAGGGCGGCGACCTCTTAGTCCTCCGCCACCACGACGGCGGAGGAAAGTGGGCTTTGTGGAAGCTGACTCCGAGGAGTCAGGATGGCAGCTGCCGCGGCCTGTGGTGGACCGTGGGCTTGAAGGTGGGGCCGCAGCTGCTGCCGGGGGACATGACAAGATAGGGGCCGCAAGCCAAGGACCCGGCCGGTCCGCCGCTAGCGGTACTTCTTCCTCATATGAGATGGTTGACATGGTGGAGGGGACACCATGGTCTGCTGGGTCATCTCCTTTAGATCCTGAACGGTGTCATCAACATGCGGGACAAGTTCCAGGTGACGTTGCTCGGGAAGGAGAAGGACCTGAACACAATTCAGAATGGCATTGGGACACCGCCGAATGGTGGCCCAATCACGACTATTGGCATGCCAGACATCCTTCGTCCTGGCACTCTACTTCCTGGTCATCTTGGCGTTGGTCTTCCACTCCGTGGGCGTCCTCATGGTCGTGGTGGGACTGGCAGCCTGGTTCCTGGGCTGAGCAATGGGTGGAGACACCTGTCGATGCTACACCGGCGGCACCAGTTGAGACACCGGGAGATCAGGTGGTTGACTGGTGGAACTCTGATGGCAAAGCGAATGAATCCCTGGATGTTGACTCATGCCCAACCGGGGCTTGGGAACACTTTCGCATGAATGGCAATAGTGGAGATGAGGCTGGGGAAAAGGCGGAAGACAGTCAGCCGCCTTCGTCATCAGCCACAAGGAACAAATCCAGGATCCCTTCTTCGTATCCAGCATCGTTTGCAGCTCAGCCAACAGAATCCTATAAGGAGTGGAAACGAGCCGTCCAAATGTGGATAGCGGGCGAAGGTGGCATGCTTCCGTGTGAGGTCATTGGACCACGAGTTCTCTCTGTTCTGAAGGGCAGAGCTTCCATTTTGACTCGCAAGCTGTCAGTGGACGAAGTATCCCAGCCAGAAGGTCTGGCCTTGATCTTCTCTACATTGGAATCTTCGTCCTTGGTGCAGGAGCTCTCAGGCCAACGTGGTGAGCGTGCTCAACGTGAGTTTCTGCAATGTCGCAGGGCTCCCCATGAGAGTCTGGATTCCTTTTTGATGCGAGTTGAAGCTCAACGTGATTTGATGTTGGAAGAGGACGCGGAGTTCGCCATGGGCGAGCGCTTTTTGGTCGGCTATGTGCTGGACAACTCGGAGCTGACCCAGAGAGATCGTGTTTTGGTGATGGCAGCCGCTGGAAATCGGCTGTCCACCGCTGCTGTCTACCCGGCCCTGCGCCGGATGGGTCCCTTCTTACAAGGAACAGTTCCGATTGGCCGAGGACTCTCCGATCGTCCACTTCTTCCTGAACTACAGCCAGATGCCCCTCAGAGCGGTGCCTCTCAGCAGCAGTCAGCGGCATCACATGGTCGCGGCCGGTTTGGTCGTTCCTATGGTGCACATGTGATTGATGAAGAGCCAGGCGGTGATGAGGCCGCCGCTGACGATGGTGGAGACAATGAAGAACCATCACAGGGCGACGATGAGATGTCAGTGGCTGAACATGAGGCCTTTTTGGCCGTGCAACAAGGGCAAGCTCGTTTGAAGGCCATCCGACAAGCCCGTGGCTATTACCGTCGCACTGAACAGTCAGCAGGTGGTGACAACGCTGCCAAGAAGCGTTTGGAAGAGCTGATGGCTAAGAATCCATGCCGCAATTGCGGAGGTTTCGGACACTGGAGCAAGGATGCCATTTGTCCAAAGAATCAGGCTAAACAGGCAACAACTGCCAATGTGACAGCCACTGATCGTGTGAAGACTCATGCCGTTCCTGTGACTGAGGCCATGTCCACTGCCGACACACCAGCCAAAGGCAGTGCATCAGCAGCACCTGGTCCCTCGTCCACCCAGTCTCATGCAGCCTTGACGGCCGTCTTAGAAAGCTATTTGAACCGGCAGAAGCCAGCGCCGCATGTCGCGAGTGCATACATGGTGCTTTCCGATTTGGGTGGGGTGGTGACTGAGCACGAACCGGTGTTCGACATGCAAGCTGATACCTTTTTGACCAACCCACAAAAGGGAACTGATTACGAAGGAGTCATGATACTTGACATAGGTTGTGTTCGTTCGGTAGCTGGCACCACCTGGGTTGAAAGAGAAATCGCAATTCGACAGCGACTCGGGAGACATGTTCATGTTGAGCGAACAGCCGATTGGTTTCGTTTCGGGGACGGTGTCCGAAGACTGTCTCAATATAGAGTGTTTCTTGAAGTGGCCATCAAGGGACACACAGGATTACTTGCAGTCAACGTCATCGACTATCCCTGTCCGCCATTGTTAAGTAAGGCCGTGTGTAATGCTCTAGGCATGTGCATTGATTGTGAGTCGAACGCATGTGAGATTCGTCGCCTCGGAGAACGTCGATGTGCCTTATGCGTCTCCCCGGAAGGTCATTATCTGATTTGTATTAATGATTTCTTCCCTAGGAATCCCTCATGGCATGTTCTCGTGCACGAACAGCAGAAAAGACCCAAGGTTGATTGTGACGAAGTGCGCATGTTTGAAATCCGTCAAGGCACTGCCGTTGGAAAAGGGTCCAAGTCACGGCTAAGACGGCAAGCCCTTGCCGCATTGTGTGAGACGCCTGATTTGTCCAACCATGGCCTTTCGTCGCAACCGAGCGCCGGCGGCGGCAGCAGCCGGCTACCAGGAGCATGCCATCCACTCGGGACCCGAGTTGCCGGGGTCGGAAGTCAGCTCCGTCCTGTTGGAGGAGGAGGAAGCCGAGCTCCAGTCACAGGGTTGGCCGGATCCGGAGGCGGATGCAGATTGGCCGGAGGACGATGCTTCCATGGCGTCGACTCTCCATCGTCACAAGCAGCCACACGGTCGTGCCTCGACGCTCAAGGCCAAGGCCAAGAGTGCAGCTCAGCCATCGATTCTGGAACCTCAGGCCGAAGAGACAGTGATCCATGCCAAGGGAACCAAGCCCAAGAACAAGACTGCTATGAAAGCCGCAACGACGGGGGAGCTTGCAGACTTTCCCCTCTTGGGCCTCACCAAATCATGGGATCCTCCGATGAACTGCTCATGGATCATCCATCAAAGGATCTTGATCCACAAATGGAAGGTGTTCCTTCTGCAGATGCGCATGAAGCAAGCCATGGAGAAGACCCGCATGAACTGGAAGCGCCAACCGGCTTGGTTGGCTCGCCTGTACGCCACCGAACTGGCGGCGATCTGGGGTCACTTCGGGTCTTGCGTGAAAACTCTGCGGCAGCCCAAAGGAGCCGTGATGTTCCGCTAGCTCAGATTCGCTCCTTGCAGCGTGGCCAAACCCAGATGCTGAAGAAAGGGCTTCAACATGCCCAACAAGGGCAGCAACTACTGAGAGAGGCAGCCTTGGCCCCGCCTGAGCGGAAGTTTTGTTTGCTAGAAATTTTCGGGACGTCGGTATCCTTGTTCGCCTCCAGCACTGACAATTGGACCGCCCTAGAGCCAGTAGACT